GTCGTGAAGGAAAGGTAGGTAAATTATCTCGTAATTAAAAAATATTTTAATTTTATTCAAATTGATCAGTGCCAAGCATAAATGAATATTTATTCACAGTAGTAATTAAGAGAACAGAATTTCTCATGAAAAGTGTTTGATATCGTGTTTCACCATCGAGAATGATGTAAGTACGGTGTCGTCAAAACTGACGGTACAAACAAATGAAAGCTTGAACGGTAGACTGATTCTCATTGAATAAATTAGCGTCGAACAGGAAGAACGCGATCCGTAACTTGTCATCGTTAAGTGTATCGCACCTGTAACCTCGAATAATCATGCAGGTGCTTCTTATCGTAAAGGGCGAAAAATTTATGACAACCCGTTTGCGCATCGCGTGTACAATTACAAATAATTATAATTTAAATGAAATTTAGAGAACAATGGAATCGGTGTATGTTTTTGTATCACATGCGTATACTATAATATTCATAGAAATATGAAAGAAAGGTTGTTTTCTTTAGTTTTTCAAAGGTAATAAGAAGGTTATTTTGTATTTATTAATAGTACAGAAAAAAATGAATTTAAAATTTATTGCGGCTTTTAAAATTAATTTTGAGATAAGTATCTACGATTTAAAATTAATATGAGAATTTTCATTCACTCAAGACTTACACCTTTTCTATTTATTGTAAAAGAGAACTTACAATTGGACAAATTTTCAACAAATAATTAAGCAATACTGGTTAAAATGTTATTTAGTGAAAATAATATGGATAAAAATTGCATCTTCAGTGATAATATTGTCTTCTTTTTTATTTTCAGATAAGAAATGATTTTTCAATTAATACTTGAGTGAAGAGACATGTATGTCTGAAAAATTTTTGTGAAATATGTGTGGTACCTCTATTGTAAAATCATTAATAATTAATTTGATAATGTTATTATCAAATTTATATGATACAATTCGAAATTTTTCAAAATTGATTATTTCGAGTTTATCTAAAAAGTATGCCATACTGCTTTAGAGAATTAATTATTTTTTAAAAATCTGATAGTTTTAAGTTGCTAACATGAAGTTATTCTTATTAATTTTTCGAGTTGCTTCTCTAGTCTATTTTTAGGGGCTGATCATTTTTAATAATGTTACATGGTTCTTTGAATTTTTAATCAATTTGTTCCAACCGTGTCTTTTGCTTTTACATAAAAACTGTATCACTTTGCTGATATTGAATATTGTCCCGTTTTATTATACAAAGAAAGTATTCTAGGTGGCTGGCACAAATTTTAATAATACTGTAGATCAAAGAATAAACGACTCGCATTTTTTTTTTTATTTGTTGAAAAACACTTTTACGAATTGAAACGAATTCTCTAAAATATCATTTGAACAAAATCAATCGAAAAAAATTTGTATTACAACGATGGATCAAAAATACAATTTGTTTGGTTCAATAAAACAATTTAAATACATTGAATGCTACAATTAAAGTTGACGTCTATGGTATGGCGCACTATAATTGCAATTGTTCAAAATACAGTTGTTTTATTTTTTAATTTAGGATTTCCACTTGATACCTTGGATAGTTAATACAGAATCACTAATATAATTCAAATAAAAAAAAATGTTTTCTCTTAAGTGGATTATATTCAAATCGTGATGTCGGTTACTGATAGCCTCCACGGTATTTAACGCGTTAACAGGGTGAACTATTCTCAATTATAATTAGAGTTATGCAAAAATTCATTAAATAAGGCAACATTTAATTGAGTGGAAAAATTTATGTATTTTATTGTTTAGCATAATTAGTTTCATTCAATAACGTTGCATTATTACATAGGGCACCTCTAAGAGTGTCAGGGGTAAGTATTATAATAAGCAAAAATATTGTTTTCCAAATTTCAAGGTCACCAATTTTTTTTCTTTTCAAATTGGATTATGTATATGTAGGCGTTTAGTGGAAAGGAGGGGGGTTCGTTTCCCCGGACGCCTTTAGTTCGGGCCGGGGACCGCTAGGTGGCAGCAAGGATGACAGTGTTCTCGCTGGCGGTCGCCCGGCGTGCGGTTCGAATATATAGAAGTTCCGAAAAACAGTATGATAGGTGTCTGGGGCAGGGATCGTCTGTTGTCAGCCCCACTAACGAGTCTGACAGAACGGTCCTGAGACGAAAGTCGTGATTTTAACTATTAAATTGTTAAGATAAAAATGTATACATAATCCAATTTAATTAAGTTGCCCCATGGTGTGGAGGATGGTGTCTTGGGACTATGGGGCACTTACCGCAACAATAGGGCCCCTTTTACGACTTGCTACTCGAACCGAAACGTCTCGATTGAAAAGTAAACGTTATATTTTGAAAACTAATTAAAGTCATACAAGCTTAATAAATTCGTCTTGGAAAGCACTATCACATGATCTGAGAAAAAAAATACATAGTTCTATTTAAGAAACAAAACTTAACCACCATATCTTTTAAACTAATAATGTAAAAAACATTTCGTTCACACCAAAACATAGATCCCATTTTACTGAGGTTGATAATGGAAATTAAATTCGACAATTTTTGCTGTCTAATGCAGGAATATATGGGATACATAGATGCAGGGGATGTGATCTATAATAAATGATTTATCAGTGTATTCCTAGTGATGATCTATAATGATGATAATATGATGATCTCTATTATGATTATCTATGATAATATAATAAATGTTCTATAATAATGTGAACTTCATGTATATTTGAGCAGGCTCGGATTATGGTATCTGGAACCATGGGGCTATCGAACCCTCGACGCTTTATTTGATTAATAAATCTGGTTCAAAAATTGAAATTTATTTTAAACAAACTGAAATAAAAGGGAAACGCAACGGTAGCAAGAAAATTTTGTTCAATATTTTTTGATACAGTAAATAGAAGATTTATAACGAGGCTTTCTGCAAAATAGGGTCCAAGGCTAAAGCTTCCCTTAGGTCTGCGTTTAATCCGACGCTGTATTTGAGCGTGAAGAATCAAGAAATGAATAGAAATAGATATAAATGATAATAAAACTACGATAAAGAGATTCATAATAAAAATCTATTTTAATAAATGCTCAAAATGACGTCAATTAACACCAACCTGAACTGTCGTATTCACGACAACTCTCGACTTTAATCTCTGAGATTATTCCAGTAAACGACTGAGATAAGGACGTTCACAACTATCTTGTCCATCAAAGGGTTAAAAAGTGGTTGGGGTGCTTGTTTATACCTTTGAAGTAATACTAAGAGGTGGTACGAGAGTAGAGATACATCAAAGGGATGAATGACAGCAAAAATGTTTTAAATAACATCAATCTTTTCCATTCCCTGTGCTCTTATATTTTATATAAAGAAGATAGCATAGTACAATCTTTACAGTACAAGTTCGAATTTTATTAGCTACGTCGCTGTGATAAAGGAACCAGTTAAATGATTTCGAATTACAGAAGACACGTTACTAACTACAGTTGTGGACTGGGTCCAAAAATATGGGGGCTCACTTTCGCTAACTTATCTTTTCGTGATCTACCATTTAATAAATACCATAGGAATTTTAAGTAAATTGAAGTTGGTCGAATTAGTCCTAAGCTAGACCCAAATTACTATTCTATGTCAGTTATGATGAAAAGGTGACACTTTGTTATATACTTCTTCTATTAGATCTATTAGTGGAGGGGGAGAGAGGGTTTCGCAACTCCTGAACGTCTTTAGTTCGGGCCGGGGACCGCTAGGTGGCGGCGAGAGATCAGTGACAGTGTTCTCGCAAGCGGTCGCCCGGCATGCAGTTCGAATATATAGAAGATCCGTCGAATTGCGATATGATAGGCGTATGGATCGTCTTTTGTCAGCCCCACTCCTACTATCCCCTCTCCTACTATCACTATCACTAATTTTGCCCTACAGGGCCGGCGCTTTTTGGGGACTATTCTGCCCCCTTGTTGCCCAACGAACCCTATCGTCCACGCGCCTATGGAGATGGGGGTTGGCAGCACTGCCAACCCCAAACCCCGCGCATTTTTTGAATTTTTTCTTTGTCTTACATTTTCCGTACTTTTAATTCCGTGAGTTTATCACTCCATACTTTTTACTTTTCTATACTCCATATACTTTTTTTGTCCCTATATGTGTGTGTGTGTCCATGTATGTGTGCGTGTGCGTGTGCGTGTGTACGTGTGTGTATCGTTGCCAACAGCACAACACGGTAACCCATCTCTATTGGAGAAACCGTGCCCACTTAGCTTGACCTCGGTGATCTTACGGGTACCGGTATGGCCTAAGTGGCTAAGGCCGTTGACTCCCCTCTCCTACAAGTAGAATGTTATAAATAGCAATTGAATTATTTTAGCAAGACACTTCCAGAAAAATCTTCGATTTGCAGAATGGAACGACGTAAAAACTGCTTCATAATAAATGCTATGTTGCCACTAGGCTGCCCCTATGTTGTTTCTCCAGTCAATCAAATAATTTTCATCTTAAATTGAGGTCTTGTATTTTCACATTATACCATCTAATTAAATGATAGTTTATTTAAAAAATGAAATAATGTTTACAAGATGAACCTGTAACATTTATGTCAAGTAATAACCCTCGGAGGGCGAACCTTGGATAGAGCCTCTTACTTCAGATTCAAGGAAAAACTCCAGTTCGTGCCGCTTGCGTGAATATCGTTATGATATAACAATCTATACTAATTTTAATTGATATTCTAAGACTTTTCCAATATACGTCATCAAAGTGAAGACGAGGTCCAAAAATGACTCAATAACTTTCATAATCATATCAAAAAACAAAGAATCTTTCTTCACCATGGTATCTATATACCATCCCCTTAGCAACAAATAGAGGTGTGCGAGTATTCGAATATTCGAGCTGAAAATTCATCTTCAAGTAAATCGAAGTTTTACGGCGGCTCGAATATTCGAGTAGTTCGATTTTTTCGAGTAGCTCGCTTTTGTTTCAAACAGTTCGTCGATTTCGAGTAATTCGGCAAATTCAAGCGCTCGGCTCGGCTCGAACAACCGAAGCGAGTTCAGCTAGGCTTGTAAATTACGAGTACTCGCACACCTCTATTAAAGATCCTTTTATTCGGTATCATATCCGAAAGAAAATAGTTCATATTACAACAAGCAATGCTGATCAATAAATCTGTCAATTACCTAACATTCTCCATATTCCCTTTTACATAAACGAAGCACGTAACCCCATTGAAGAGCAGTTACATCCGACAATTATGATGGATTAGTGTAAAGGAATAAGAGAAAGAGATGTATAGCTGGATCGAAGGAGAAGTAGCTAGAGAAAAGATAACAACCGGACTGTCTATCCGGAAAGTAAGGGATCGAAAGAAGGAAACGAGCCGGGATAAAATGCTTCCCCCTCTGAATTTCGTTTGGCGAGTGAAGTTATCGGAGGTGGTAAGTGGGTAAGCGGTTAGATAGATCGGTGGATAGGTGGAAGAGTTTCTACGAGCTTCGAATGCAGCCTGTTTCGATAGGATGGTAGGCGGTCGCATCCGGTTTCATAGCTCCCTTACGCTCGAGTTCGCAGGCGTCGAAAACAGGTGCTTGACTTGCGCCGTCGTACCACCAGCCGTTTCGCTTTTCCTTTCAGAAACACGCCCTTCCCAGCGATCATGCCACCGCCTCCGACGCCTCCGACGCCTCCGACGCCTCCAACGCCTCCGACGCAATTCTACCGTTTCGAACCGTCAGACGAGCCTGCGACACCAACGGGACACCTTGTCTTCTTCCTCTTTCGATTCGCTGCATAAGGAGTATAGATGCTAAGAATATATAATGCTAAAGAAATTGTAATAAATTTTTGTAAATAGTACTTTTTCCTGTAAAACAGTGATTTTCAAGTGCTTCATAAATATATCATTCTCTGGGATTTTTATTAAAATTTTAACAAAAGAATAAATTTCTTTATTCGTTAATAATAGTATCATAGTTTGTTTATAACAATCTTTATAGAAAACAATTATCTGAAGCAAAGAAAGCTACAATTAAAGGGGTTAGTATTGAAGGTAGGGGCTATGGGTGCATAGCAAAGAAACTTGATCGGTCGAAAAGTGCCATCGCAGATTTCGCCACAAGGTGAAAATTATGGTGAAAAAGGCACACAGAATGTTCTGAGAAACTTTTCTCTCGAGACAAATACAAATTGATCAACGTAATTTCTAATACAGCAGTCTTTATTAACGATATTAATTCATTTTCTAAATTTTGCACTGTAATGACGGCGGACCACGTAGAGAGTCTCAATTTTAATTTAATTTCGTATTTTATATTATTCTTCCAATAAGTATATGAAACTCTTTTGTTTAAAAATAATACATTTAACTTTAGGATTTAATGTTTATTTACGTTTGTGTTATATTCATGTTGAATATATTCAATATGAGTTATATTTATATCGAAAACTACTTTAACTGATGTGGTTTATATTCAAACAATTCTACCTCTTTTATAACACAAATTTGACCAGGAAATTTCAAAATTTCTTTTGGAAAGCGAATTTTTCGAATTGATTGTTTCAATTATTTAATATCGTTTAATTGCTACGCAAAGGTTGATTAAAGGAGATAATCTATATTGATTTGTTAATAATTCAATTAAATGATAACAATGGTGTAATAAAAATGAAATTCAAACCGCTACATGTATAAATATTAATGCTACTTTTTATATTCATGAGAAGTGACAATAATTCGTTGCACCTGTGTTTATGATATATAAACTAATTTTTCAGTAATTACTGGTGAAAAATTATTTCATTTGAATAGCATATTTTAGATGATTAATTATCATTATTTTTCATATATTAGAACAAGTTTCTGTATTTATTATACGTTAACATGTGTTAATATAAAACAAATTGTAAATAGTATTAAGATTATGGCGATAATATAAAATAGCAAATTTTAAGGTGAATTGTTTCTATTCTAAATAATTAGAATTTTGATATGTTTGACTACATATGTTCCTTTTCATTTATAGTAGTGAATGCATTAAGGGGAATGGGCATTTTCTGTGGTACCTAGAAAATAACTCAATTTCAAGTTCATTTTTCACATGAGTGCTGAAAAATCTAAAATCTTGCCTCTATCAAATCTTTGTGAACATTTTTCGCTCACTTATAACACCCCCAAAAAATTGTTTTAATTATAGATTCTGATTCCAAATATTATTTATTATCAAATTAAAAAGATTTTTTAAATCGATTTTTTTACCCCTAAAAATGCTTACTCTCCTTAAAGCAATACAGAAAAATGACTATTCAATTTTGGAGTTATATTTCATATTCTTAACCCTTGGACGGCGGACCATGGAGAGAGCCCCAATTTTAATTTAATTGTGTATTCTTTCAATATATGAAACTAATAATATTCTTTCAATATTAGATTAATATCTATGTATATGTTTTGTAAGTTTTGGTCACTATTGACCTAGGCTCCTAAAGCAGATAAGGACTACCCCTATTCTTGTCTTGAATCACTTTATAAATTCACGAAGTTTCATCTACTAATAAAGCAGGCAGTAAATATGTATCATAATTGTAAGACTTTCGAATATACATATAATACCGGTACGACATCGAACGAGTTAGATGTATGGTTGGTTACCACCATAATCTACTGGCAATCATAAGCGTACCAGTAAGTACGTTTTTCACGTCTGAATTAATGCCTCAACCTACCAGTACGTTTTTCATGTCTGACCATTAATGTCTAAACGTGTATCCATTTATTATTACACTAGAGTGACAGAATAAAATAGACACCATTCAATATTATCGTACCTCTTAATATTAAGTACGTCAAACAAGATTAACTCTCAACTGGCACACTTCACCAGAGTAACATGGCTGGCACATTTGGACGTTTAAGACCCCAACCACTAAAATATTTGCTGCGAAGAAGCTATTCATTATTTTAACTTGAAAAAATTCATAGATAATCTTTGAAAATTGTTTCAACATATTTTACAGCTAATTTTAATAAAATGAAATATTGAATATGAAATAAAAATTGAAAAAATAAGTTTTCACAAAAAATTCATAACTTTTTCAAATTTTAGGTGGACACTCTTGAGATTGAACATTTTAAGAGAAAGAATACTACAAAAGTTGTGGTTTCAAAAAAGGTATTTATTTGAAGAGTTGAAGGGACGAAGTTTAGCCAAAAAGGAAAGGGTCGTCTCGTACCCCACAGTGTCAGCTAAGGGTTAATACTCTCATAGAAAAAAAGGGGAGCAACAAGGAATTAGATTTAACATAAAAAAACAAACAAAATCTGTATACTTTTATGAATAAAAGGAAACATCTAAAATTTAAGGTGTCTATTGTATTTTATCACCCTAGTATATATCTTTGGATATATCAAATTCTTTTATTTGAGAATTTATCGAAATAAAGACTCAATAATTCCCAGCATATTGGCACCTCTAAGAAACGGGGAATTATCAAGCGCCAATGGCATTCGATTTATTATAACAAGACCTCGACAATTCCCCTCATTCCCCTCGGCTCTGGAGACGAGCACTTCTAAGAGACCGGGGAATTATCGAGCGTCAATGGCATACGTGCCTTCCCCACAGTTCTCCAACGGGAAATTAGCAAGCATCTGTATTGAAACTCTAATTATTAAGAACAGAAATAATTAATCTTCAAATTTCAAATTTTAAGCTCCCTATTTGCTATTTTACATTATATATATCATAACAATATTACTTAAAATAATGTTTTTCTATTGTTTTCTATTAATTATTTAGGCATGTGTAATTTGCGATGGCGTTCAACGTGTCAACCCTTTGCCCTGTAATATCGAGTCATTTGACAAATGTGTCAAATTTGGCTAGTACTTTTAGTGTGGTTGAATTTTGAGTTTAATTCTATTTATAATTTACCCAGTCAAGGATCATCATATTTCAATTTTTTTTATTTGTTTGAAAATTCAAGCAATGAATTTACGCAGCTATCGAAAAAATCATAGACAAAAGGGGTTAAGAATTAACCCTCGGACGGCGGACCATGAAGAGGGCCCGAATGCATTTCATATAATTTTCATTTTCTAAATTTAACACCGTTCCTTTAAAAATTATTATTATCAGTTAGCTCGACAAAATCATAGGAGAAGAGGTTGTGGAGGGTCAAACCCTCAGCGTCTGGGACCAACGAACACATAGCAAGGACGTCATCGTAATGACACGATTATCTAACTTCTCAATTTTAAATTTCAGTCTAAAACCTTCCAACATTTCTTTACCATTGTATTCTTTGACTACATCAACTTTCTACATAACGCGAATTACCGGCAATCCCAGGGCAATCAAGGTGTCGGGGAAGAACAACAATCCGCCAAGTAGAGCGGGGGCTTATAAGAGGTCAGCATTGAACAAAGCAGGGAATAACGAGAGGTTGGAAGCGGTGAACCGTGGAAGACGGCAACAACACGTGAATTGGCGCGTAAGTAAAAGAGGTCAACCGGTGGAGGCAGGTGGTGGAGGTTGGAAAGCATAGGCGGAGCCTTCAGTTCCGCCTCCACCTACAATCCCACCTCTTACCGTACCTCTCTCGCTTTCCCGGACCTTTTCCAACCTTCTCTCCTCCTCTTCTCTTCGTCTATACATACACTTTATCTTTTTTTTCCTCCCAGGGTCACATCCTTTCACCCCCTCCACTTTACCTTGTTAGCTCTGTCAGGAAGCCTGCTGTCTCCCCCTTCTCGGTGGAAAGAGCCGGATCCATACGCGATCCTTCGGCAAAAGTATACCTGCAGAGGACCCGGCCCGATGTACCTAGCCACTTCCAGTTCCACCTATAGGTACTAGAGCCACCGCGGGCAGCAGCTACAGCCATTTTGCGGCCGCTTTTATCGCCACACCGGAAAAACCAACCTTGTTACCATCGTTTTTTCCTCCTGTCCTACCTGCACGCTAATTTAATCATACTTCTTTTTCGTAGGTAACGAGAGGAAACGGAAAGAGGACTTTCTACGAGCTCCTAGCGCTCACTGCGTCCATTTGCGCTTGGAAAACTTAGCGCTTTTCGAATGGACAAGGTAAGGTTAAGGGTGGAGGGGTTCGTGAGTGTATAGGAGTTTAGTGTTAATTTGGAATTTAGGAAATAACTAGAGGTGTGTGACATTTGAACTGCGGAGGTTGGGTCAATCGATACCCACACTTATAAGATGTATGTAGGATGGTGGTGGAAAAAGGCGTTTCCGTCTCACAAGGAGAACTACCCAAGTGTTATACTCACTTATTAATGAACCTTTGCCAGCTTGTAGAGCTCGTCGAGCTGAACACGCCTATACCCCGTTTTGTGGGCAGACGGCTAATTGTTTAAAAGATATTAACAATTACAGTTAGTTACTCCTTACATTTTGAAGTATGACAAACTCGCACATACAATTCGCAAACTAGAGATCCACGGTTCAAATCCTTGGTTCCCAACATTTTTTTTTTGTAATGATAATTTGTCCCTTTTTGAATAACTATTACATAAAAATTATTATTATAAAAAAAAAAAAAAAGAAACGGTCACCCAGGATTTGAACCGATGACCTTTAGATTACGAGTCATGTGTTTAACCACGGAACAGATCCGTGACCCGCAATTTGAACGTTCTCGGTTCAAATCCTTGGTTCCCAAAAATTTTTTTTTTTTTTTATGATAATTTTTATGTAATAGTTATTCAAAAAGAGCTTATATTTTTCTTGTTACAGTAGCTGTTTGATAATTTTCCACTTTTCAGAATCAAGAGATGAACCTTTCTAAGAAACGGGTAGTTATCGAGCAGCTTCACATAAAGTTGATGTTATCCACGTTTATATTTCCTGCGTATAATGACATCAAAGAGGAAACGTGAGATAGGTACTTAAAGAGATAGAAGCTTCAAAAACTTGGAAATCATGAAAATACTGCAAAAAATTACAATTTATTATACAGAATGAATCTCGTAACATGATAACTTTAAGTAACTCATAAATTATTTCTTCTATCAAAAATTGTATGGTTTCTAACAGGACATACATATACATATATAACAGAGCAGTAATAATTGTTTTTTAGGTAGAGGATTTTGACTCTGTTTTCCTGAATATTTCTTTAGATAAAGAAACAATAAGAAACATTTACATATACGTTGTGTTCAAATTAAATGAATGATACAGATTGTTCTGTATATTTATCTACATAATAAAACTCGTTAATACGAAAAATTCACCTGGAAACATATTTATTAGTTATAAAATCATCAGATTTTTCTGCAAGCTCATAATATATTTACATATACCTACACTTATTATCAAATATTTGGGAATTGAAATCTGAAAAATTTTAAACCTTGCATTATGAAATAACTATAAAAATTTATATTTAACGTCCTAATTGAAAATAATCATCCACTTATTTTCATTCAATATCGGTTACGTACCCAATTGTTGCAAAAATGTGTATTTGATATCAATAATTTTACATGTACATCACTGATAAAAATTATGAGACCACCTATCAATGACTACGGTGACACAATAAAATAGACATCCTTCAAGATTATTTCTTAATATTAAATATATCAAGCAGAACTAAAACTCTCATTTATAATTAATATAAAAAAAATTAACAAAATCTATATACTTTTATATAAAATTTAAGTTGTCTATTATATTCTGTCACGTTAATACAGAGAACAATTCTTTGAAATTGTAATATGTAATTGTGGAGAAGTAATGTCATTAAGTGCCTCGTAAGGAATAAATCGTTTTCACAAATCATTTTTATAAATAAAAATACTAATTCATAATATGTATCTTTATGCTTTGTTTGTAAATGCTGAATTTAAATTAAAATTGCAGTTTGCAAGAGTTATATGATCAAAAAGAGTGAAGGTAAATTACTCCTATTAATGTGCATAACAGTAATGGAAGATTTTAAACATTTCTCAAATTTTAATCGTAAATTTTAAAGCCTTAGTATTTCTTACAATAATGTATCAATAAATAAATTAGAGAAATTAGCTGCTTATATTTGGTTACATTATCATTCAGAGGGCAAACCATGAAGAGAGTCCTAATTTTAATTTAATTTTATATTTTAAATTATTTTTATTTTCTAAACAGTTTTTTTAAAATCATTCTTCTAATATATGAAACCCTCTTGCTTAAGAATTATAATTTTAATTTTACACCACAAAATTTCTGTATACTGATACCATTTAGTGCAGGAAATGTAATATAAAAGAATCAATAAGAATATAAACAAAAAAAGATACAAAAGTTCGAATAAATAGTGAAATGTCTACAGCTTGAAACTTAAACAAATAACAGAGCAGCTGTTTAAATAAGAAAATGTTTATACTGTTTAATCTGCTTTGCAGATTTTGCAGACCTAAAATAAACAAAAAAAAAAAAAAAAATAATAAAAATAAAAGAAAGGAAGGAATTCTATATCGCTAAAATGTTTTTAAATTAATGAACAATGTTTCAGGTGTATTTTTAATTTAACGTTACACTTATTATAGAAAAGAAATTGCAATACGTACCATTTTTGTCTCCATTTTATTCTTGATACAGTAGACTCTCGTTATATTGCCACATAAGATGATACACTTCTATCTTCCCCCCCCTCTTTCAAATGAGAGATGGGAAGCTTGAAAAATTGTCCACTTCTACAACCTCGTTCGCGGCAATATAACGAGGGTCTACTGTATTTCCGCTTTGAAACTGCACGTAGAATAGGCCTGTTTAACTGCTATGTAGAAGCGAAAGAGTCACTGCTCCCACTCTTACCCCTTCAGACTTCCCCCACCATCCAGTAGTGCCAGTAGTGGGACAGCGGTTTCTAGCAGCTAGGACTAGGAATACGCGTCAAATATTAGAAGGGTCGGGAAACCAACTGGAAGAGTGGGGGGAGCCGTGCGTGAGCTGCGTGGTAGGGGAAGGAGCCACGAGTGGCCCGCGGGCCGCAAGTTAGACAGGCCTGATGTAGAAGATGAACAAGAAGAAGAAAGTGACCATAAACAAAAGTTTTACATTCCATGATCGCTTTATTTTGATTACAGAACAATGGTCGCGACATTGGGAAGTCGACTTCTCCTGCCTCCATTTGTTCCTATATTTACAAGCAGATCCTCGAGGTACGCGAGGAAATGCACGTCCAATCTAAACTCTTCATCAAAAGAGAGAAAGAGACAAAATCTCCTTGTTCTTTCAGTCTGTTGCACCACGTTCGATTTCCCTATTGAAACTCTGCTTACCATGAAAACATTGAACAATTTTACCCCATCGCACTGGAAGGTATCTTTGCTATAAAGAAGCTCGTTGCTCCTTTCCAATGCAAAGGGTGAAATTTTATTTGGCAGCTCGACAAACTGTAAAAAGAGTTTCTTCGACCTTAGAAAAGCTCGAACGTCGTTTTTCCCATTTTATTTTCCCTTATAGATTCGATAGAGCATTCCGCGCATGTCTCTGAAACCATGACTACAAGATCTAGAATTTGAAAATTTCAATCTCGTCTAGCGACTCGATTCACCGAACCGTTCCAGTTCAGTCATTTTATTCACGAATTTGGTCACAATAAATGAGAAGGTAGAGCTTAACGAACTAATGTCATTCGTCAAATAAGCAACAAATCATTTCAAGAGAATTCTGTTTTGTTTTCTTTTCATTTTCAACTATCATCACCGGTTAAAATAAATAACATTTATTAGACATTGATTTTCCTAATTAGTTTCAAAAAACATTGCTTCTCTATTGTACACTCGTGATCAAATCTGCTTTTCTAAAAAAAAAGAATGGTGGTACCTCGAGTCCTCGGTTCTTATCCTTCCCCTTAGGCGGTCTCGAGGAAACTGACGGCGCAGGGGAGAAGGCCCCTTATTATAGGTCCGTGGCGACCCACCACTAGCGTGGAAAGTTTACGCGGGAGAATTTGAATTGATGTTTCTATTGTATACTAAATTTCATAATATATAATAATTGAAAATTACATTATTTTGTTTCTAAATTACTTTTAATATTAATATCATCAAAATTAAGATTTTGTGAAATTTTGTTTTCCCTATATCGCCATTTTCCTTTAGAGAAGCCTGATTTGATTGAGAGTGTACTTTTAATTAATTATATTACATTAACCCTTTCGCTACTTATAATTGTCCAACACAATATGAATGCTTGTATAATTATTAGAAATACAAATACCCATGTTAAAATATTGTATTTAGTACGGATTTTGAATTAAAAATATACGAGTACAGTTTCCGGCATTGATGACCCTGTAATGAAAGGGTTAATGTAAATTCCCAAACTTTAGAAATAAGATGTTTTTTTTTAAGATGGATCGTTAACATAAAACGAAACATACATCGCTGTACATTAAAATGGATTCCAATGTCGCCTTTTTATGTTAGTCTAACGTGTGAATTGCTAAAAGTATAGAAATACTATGTGTGTAATACTTATTGTTAGAAATCAATATATTTGTTTTTTGATTGTTATAAGGGATTTATAATTTTACCTTTTTTCAAAGTTTATTCGCACTGGATGTTCATTTCTGAATTATTCTTGTTGTTTAAAATATAAACAGTGTATTCATAAAAACAATGGTGAGATTTCACAGACGTATTTTATTAGCAAGTTAATACGAACAAAATTACCTATGGTTTGGTTGTATGTACAATGGGTTATAAAAGTATTCATATATCCTTTGAAACAGAATAACCTTTCTCATATTGTGCCAAATAATTTGCATTTTGTTTTTTTAAGAAATTAGAAAAATTAGTTTATTAGACATGTTTTCGTCATTTTGCAAAAATTATAATTGGTTGAAATCGTGAAGAAAATAGTGAAAATCGCTTTTTACAAGCTTTTGTTCCTTTTGTGATAAAAATTAAAAAAAATCTCTTTTGTAAATTTAAGTAAGTTATATATTAAATTTTCGACATACAATAATTTATTTAAATTTATAAAAGGTATTTTATTTATTACAGACTTAGATTTAAAAAATTATAAAAAGCGATCTTCACTATTTTCTTTGCAATTTTTTTAAAACAAAGAAAACACATCATCTAGTAAACTAGTGCTAGCTACTCAAAAAAGTTCAAGTTATTTAGTCAAAATTTGAAAAAATTATTTTATTCTAAAGAGTATACTAATATTTCTGAAATCCACTGTATATTCATGCAAGGAAAGAAAGGTATGTTTAATTTATTTATTTAAAAGAAATTGAATATATCATAACGTACTATGTACCTAATTACATAATTATAAAAAGAAAATGCAGTTCGAAAAGGAATGTTTTTTTACTAGAATGCAGTTGTTACAGTAGATATACCCTACTGGTACCTAAGTATTAAATATCTTCTAGTCTATTGCAAAATCATATATAAAAAAAATAACAGTAACATGGTCTATCAAGATGCAAAAATTGTATCTTTAAAAGGGACACTTAGAGTGGTTTTTTTGTCAGTACAGTGGGTTCTCGTTATATGGCCTCTACTAAACGGTGTGTAGAGGCGGAGAATGTTTCAAGCTTCCAAATATTCGGTTGGAGGGGGAAAGGGAGATTGAAAATCTATGCGAAGATCAAATCGTTTTTCATAAGGAAGGATACAGAATATTTCAAAAATAGTGTACAACCCAAAACCTATATATTTCTCATGGAAAAATAAATTAAAAATGAAACTAAAAATTTTAAAGCGATAAAAAGATTGAGATGGTACACTAATTTTGGGTATACTTCCGAAAGGCCCCATCACCCCAGGACAACTAAACTTCGGATTTATAGTAATTGATGGACGAGAAATCGAATGAGACAATTTTCAGAACTGGCAAATAAACCGTTCTCGAGATATACAGGGTATTCTAAAAGTGTGGAAACCCCCTATTACCTCGATAGGAACGCATTTTCACGGAAAATGACTAACCTAACCTAGGTTAGGGTTAGGGTTAGGGTTAGGGTTAGGGTTAGGGTTAGGGTTAGGTTAATCATTTTGCGTGGAAATGCGTTCTTATCAAGATAATAGGGGGTTTCCGCACTTTTAGAATACCCTGTATATCTCGAGAACGGTTTATTTACCAGTTCTGAAAATTGTCTCATTCGATTTCTCGTCCATCAATTACTATAAATCCGAAGTTTGGTTGTCCTGGGGTGATGGGGCCTTTCGGAAATTTCCCCCTAATTTTGGACACCCTGTATAGTAAAAAACACATTTCTGGAAAAAATCATAGATGATCTTTGTTCGTAATGTCTGAGCCAATTAGACTACCATAATAGAGGGACATTGAATGGTGCATAACTGTTGCACTTCCAGTTGAATTTTATATGTCTATGAAACTGCACCATTTTTTTAACGAATACACTGTAATTAAAATCGGCATATACGTATAATGTTTAATACCCTTGTTGGTGAATCGAACGCAGTGAATCGTAGACACAGATACAATCTCTTCCAGAGAAGAGGAGTAAGGGAGAAAGAGTAGATCCGGCGAATTTAAGGTAGACACTAATCCTTCGAAGTATGTAACACCTAGAAATTCAGGTACGCGCGAGTTAGTTCTCGATTCCAACCAGATTCGATCGCTAGCCACCACCAATCCTGTAGAATTCTATACTACAAGCAATACTGTTCAATGAATTTTATCTGTTTTTCTTACAATTTCTAACACGTTAGATACCATATGAGATTGCAGTTTGTTATTTTGTATGCATCAAAACAAATGGAAATCGAACTCTTTAAGATAATAAACAAAATAATACGATGTACAGTATCATGCTTGGTAGACCTCTTTAGGGAAATAAGTGATATAGAGGAAAGAAGACTAACCACTCTTTATCATACTCCAACTGAAAAAGTGAAGACACGAAGAATTGTAAAATAAGAAAAAAAATTGAAACTTGAAAAATTGAAAAAATTGATAAAACGAGAGAATTGAGAAATTGAGAAAGTAATAATTGAAGAATGGAAGAATGTAAAAATAGAAGAATTGAAAAATTGGAAAAATTGAGAAATTGAAGAGTTGAAAAATTGGAGAACTTAAGAATGAATGAATTCAAGACTTTAAGAATTGAAAAGTTGAATTAAGAAATTGAAGAGTTGAAGAATTTGACAATTTAAGAATGGAAAAACTAAAAATCTCGAGAATTGAAAAATTGAAGAGTTGAAGAATTCGACAACTTAAGAATGGAAGAATTCCAAACTTCAAGAACTGAAAAATTAAATTAAGAAATTAAAGAATTGAAGAATTCGAGAACTTAGTAATTGAAGAATTCAAAACTTCCATAGTTGAAAAGCTCAATAATTCGAGAAATCAAGAATTTACAAATTAAAAAATTTTTAATTATTGAGAAATTTAATATAAAATAAATGTTATCTAATATTTGTAAAATTAAGATTTTATGTATTTACAAAAAATTTAATTATTAATATATTATTTGAACAAGACATAATACTGATAAGGTCTCCTTCCACTCAACCACTATTTTCCCTGAAGAAATCTATTATTCTCGATACTGAACCAACGAATTGCTTTATTTTATAAAAAAGAAATGATTTATGATGGACAAATTCTCAATTTAGTCCAGGTAGAAAATGTGTTAATTTCTCGAAAAAACATACAAAAAGACACGAATATAATAAAAAATTATTATAAACTTATTTCGTGGTTGAATTCATAGTACCATTTATGAACGATGGGGACAGATAAGTAGATAAATATTAACGGTAACATAATTACAAGATAGAGATTTAATTAATTAACGAAGACAAAGTGATCCGTTTGTTCGATCGGGATACCATTCACGCGCACCTTTCACGGTTTAATCTACTAACGCTACAGTGCGTAACATGGTCAATCTAAAGGAGGTTTGTTAAGTTTAGCGGGACGCATAATTATGTACAGATATTTACACGGCTCGAATATCTAGAACGATTTTACAGAGACCGATTTTCTTCACCGGTAATTCCGAGCAATCGATGACCTCTCGTTTGGCACACGATTCCGTTCACATGTAGATACGTCGTAAGTCTGAAGGTGACGTTATCATGTTGCACTGTGGACACAGCTTTTTCGCACCCTGAAAGGGACAATAACACTTTTTCGAAACATTTCTTGTTACACCCTGGGTGTAAATGAATAGAAAGAAAATTTTAAAAGTTTATTTTTAAACTTCAAATTTTATCAGTTCGTATTACGGGTCTTATAAATTTCAAATTACTTTAGAATATCAAATATGACCGTATTTTTGGTTGTTCAATTCAAATCTGAAGTTAGAATAAAAATAAAAATATTGTTTTTCACAAACTCTTTTTTATGAATTTGTTACTATTTCTTAACGATTAATTTTGCAATAATGTAGCTATTTTTTTTAATTCACAATTAAATATAGATGATAAATTTTATTATATTTGTCTACTCAATTTGATAATTATATTTACTAAGTTTATTTTACCTTATTTCATATAATACATGAATTTGATTGGCTGATCTTATTGAAATTTATAATTAATTTACTGCAGTTAATAAATGTTGATTGAAATGTCATTTGCAGTGTGAGCTCAAATTTGTATAAAATTGCTTAGTCTGAAATTTGAGTCCGATGTTTGCATCCTGTCAAAATAAATTCATTTTCTAATTTTTTTCATATGCAATCGAAGCTATTTAAGAGAATGATTTTATAAAAACTTAAATACTAAACAAATTGTGACAAATATGTGCTATTGTAATACGAAGAAATACATATATTAGAAAGACTGGTAGAACATATTATTATTATATAATAATTTAAATTATTTTCAACTTACCAGTGTGTGTAACCAGCATTGCTCACAATGCACATGCCAGCAGCAGACAGAGGTCACTGGCTTTTTATATTGCTCCTAAAAACATACAAAAATCACAATTTCCTTTAACTGATTGTGGGAAGAAATGACACAAAGAGTATAGTCGGCTAACGTAGTCAAAATAGCCTTTGAACCAAATTAAACTCCGAATGAATCATTCAGTAGCATATCGAAAAAAGAGGATTATTAAAGAGGAAAAGTTGAAATTCTAGTTTTTGAAATTCTGTTAATTTTTTCTATTTGATGATATTCGAAAATTCTCCAAAAATTCTGCCACACTACTAACTCATTGCCAGTAGTGCATACTAAACAATTTTTTCAGATTTTTCCATTGTAAATCATAGTGGTAAAATATGAAAAACCGAACAAAAAATCTGAAAAAACGCGATTTCTTATTCAAAACATAAGAGCACTACTTTTATGTTATTGTGGTAATAACATATTAGCATAATGATTTTCCTTTGAATTTTTTCGGTTTTTTGTCAAGGTAGTTCAAAAAATCATACATACACAAATTTTGACATTTTTGTTTTTATAAACGTCTTTTCTACAATATTTTTAATGAATTCTGATAAGGCTAGTCTTTAAATAACTAATGAAAAAATTTTTTGATATCAAGAAGTGAATTTCAAGTTGTTTACATGGCATTGTATTTCTTATGTAGGTGACTAATTTTTACTTTTCAGTCATCATTTAATGAAAAATGGAATGAAAAGAGATAGTGTAAGGATTGTTGTTAATTTTATTATTTTTCTTTTTTTTGTTATTATAATTGAGGCGATATGCACCGTACTGGTACATTAGGGTAGAGTCATTTTATCAATTACAGAATAGGGTCATTTTTAAATTCCATAAAATTTGAAATAAAATTTAATTTAAATCAAATTTTTAAAGCTACTTGGAATATAATTATTCACACCAGTACTGAATGGGCTAATATTAACATAAAGAAATTTAGAAAGAAAAAACAAATTGAGGGTCTTTTGAGCAGGTGCATTAAAGGGAGTTCTAAAACACGATCACTACCTAGCGATATAATAGCTTTAATGAAGAAACGAATAAAATACAAAGTGCGAACTTCATGACGCGTGTTTCAACCATTGTCGGTTATTGCGTAGTGTAGAACGTAAAACGGTGGCGCCTCCACCACTCTCCAACCGCGTGGCGTATAGGGGAAAAACAGAATTCCCCAATAGGGTCCAGCTCTACTTTTTCACACATAATATTCCGAAGAATTTATCCGCATAAAAAAACAAGCAATTCCATAAAAAAATAAAACCTTACCATACAGATAAGACACTTGAATGGTTGGCTGCGCATTTCAGCCTCCAGTTCCCGAATTCGACCCTTAAGGGCCTCAATCACCGGTGTATCACCATCCCTCTTCGGTGAAGAGGAGACACCTTCTTCCTGCTCGTTTTGACTCAAAGAAGTGTTCGTTCCTGGTTCAGGCTTCACTTCGACCAAATTTTGTCCAATTTGATCGGGTGTGTGCGATGAGTGGGGCGTGTGTGGGGTATTTGGCGCATTCGGGGAAATCACTGCTTCTCGAAGAGCATCTCTTTCCTTCTGCTCTCTAGGCGTTCCCTCCATACGTGGTGTAATAACGTCGGCCTCAGAATATTGCGCTGGTCCAAATTCGGCTACGTCGTCTCCGTCGACCACCAGGTCCACGTCTTCGTCCTCCTGTTGATTCGATCCGCCATTTCCGCCGGCGGAACGGTTGCTTGACGTCGCTAAACCTACGGCTTTAAACATATGGAAAATACATTATCAATTTGCAATTAGTTCTCCTTCGCAAAAATATCATAAAGTGATTTCGTAAATCTAGCCATAGCCGAACTCGAGGCATGGGGCACACTAAGGTCCTGATTAGAGGGCCTTCAATGATGCTAGGTAGGACCCTAAGCTGCCTAGAAAGGAATCAGTTGCGTTTATTCGGGGGCTCATCACTGGGCATTGGTATACGAGGAAACACCTGACGCACCTAGGCACGGAACAGAAACCTGGGTGTTCGAGGTGTGGGGAGGAGGATGAGACTCCTTTCCACTTGATACTGCGTTGCAAAGGTCTGGAGGCTCTGAGGCGTTCAAGGCTCGGGGCCCCAGTCCTCGATGACGTACACTTGGAGGACATTGGAGTGGGCGGACTCCTGGGCTTTGCAAGGGAGACCGGCCTTCACAATTTACCTCAGTAACTTGAACTGCCCGTATGGGCTCGGGCACAATGGTTCCTTGAGGACTGAGTGCCCGGCGCGTTCATCAATAATAATAATAATAATAATGTTGAGAAAGTGCACGTGTTTCTTTCTGATGCAAACTATACTTGGGTCTGCTACGTCACCGTCTGGAGACGAGTAGAACAATGAACTAACCGTCGTATCGAGAACGTTTGAGATCTACGTGAACATATAAAATAAAAGTTGTACAGTACTAATTGTAAGCGATGGACTCCTACAATAAAGAACCAGCACGCAGCAAACCGAAACTCCTTGCCTATAGGAGTTTCTTTCAAGAAACGAAGAAATATTGTTCGAGCCGTAGCACGCCGTGGCATGCAACGAGGCAACGCCTGCCTCTTCAAAAGGGTTCGGAACGGTGATACGATACGGGCGTTTGATACAAGTGGATACTCGGCTTAAGAGGACGCCTGCGTTGACACGGTCAGTCAGTCCAATTTGGTCACGCGAATAAATAATAATAATAATAATAAAATCTAGCCATTGTTATTTCTTGCATATGCAATAAATAAATAATCTTTAAACTGATACTTTTTATCTTTTTTTTTTTTCAGTTGTTCCATGAGTGAGGGCACCGTTCCTGGGGGCAAGATCACGGGCCCCTTTATCGGCGGTAAAGCTTTAAACTGATATTCTAGTCTTTGAGTAACTTTCGAATGGCGGACCCTGGAGAGAGCCCCAATTTAACTGTTTAAAAATTAATACTCTTTGTTACAATACCTATCGTTTTTTTTAAATTAATCTTAAGTTTTATTTTATTGTGTTTAATATCACTATTATTTTTTGTTATACGTATAACAAATTTTAATGTTTGAAACAGAGTGATATACAGGGTGTTAAAAACTTAACTGAAGAGCTCTACATCGTTGGATAGATCACGAAAAATCGAAGCGGAAAGTTCTGTAGCATTTTTCGATGGAATCAATAGTTTAATCACATTTTGTTGTTGAAAATTAAAAAATTGACCAATCAGCGCGCAGCTTGAGTGGCAAGACTCGCAGAGTAGGAGACGCATGCGTAAGCGCGACGCTCAGCAGCGCGGCTCATTGGTGGCAGAGGAAGCTAGTCTCCTACTCCGCGCGTCTTACCACTCAAGCTGCGCGCTGATTAGTCAATTTTCAACAATGAAACGTGGCCAAACTATTGATCCCATCGAAAAATACTACAGAACTTTTTGCTTCGATTTTCCGTGACCTATCCAACGATGTAGAGCTCTTCAGGTAATTTTTTAACACCCTGTATGTTATATTTCATCTTTTGTTTATTTTTGTAGATTTTACGAAAATACAAATGTATTAGAAAAAACATGTTATGGAACGTCTGGATCAATTAGATATCCGATAACAAAGTTTTATTAATTGAGAAGAAATGAAACTCACCAGAAAATCCACCGACAAGCATCGAGGTTGCTCGCACTCGTCTTTGTCCGGCCCATTCGTATTCTTCAAAAGTTTCAGCATCGCCTTCTACATCTACTTCTTCTTCATCTAAATTATTTTGGCTCGTTGGATTGCCGTTATGTTTCTTCAGACACCTTTCGACATGTTGATTCAACTCTTCTGGGCTACCGGCTAGTCTTTCACTACAAACTGGACACGAAGGCTCGTCTGCTTTTCTTTTCCTATTCTTTACACGGATTCTAGCCTGTACATATAAGAAACAACAATGATTTTGAGACTATTGTATTCTGTTTTTACTGACAAGGAGAACTAAACAAGTGTTACACTCACTTATTAATGAAACTTTGCCAGCTTGTAGAGCTCGTCGAGCTGAACACGCCTATACCTCGTTTTGGGAGCAGACGGCTAATTTTTTTTTTAATGATAATTTGTCTCTTTTTGAATAACTATTCCATAAAAATTATCATTATTAAAAAAAGAAAAAAAAAAAATAGAAAACCGGGAACCCAGGATTTGAACCGAGGACCGTTAGATTACGAATCATGTGTTTAACCACGGAGCAAATCCCTGACTTGCAATTTGAAGGTCCTCGGTTCAAATCCTTGGTTCCCCAAAAAATTTTTTTTTTTTAATGGTAATTTTTATGCAATAGTTATTCAAAAAGGAACAAATTATCATTAAAAAAAAAGAAAAAATGTTGGGAATCAAGGATTTGAACCGTGGATCTCTAGATTGCGAGTTGTATGTGTGAGTCTGTCATACTTCTCAATGTAAGTAGTAACTAACTATAATTATTAATATCTTTTAAACAATTAGTCGTCTGCCCACAAAACGGGGTATAGGCGTGTTCAGCTCGACGAGCTCTACAAGCTGGCAAAGTTTCATTAATAAATGAGTGTAACACTTGGGTAGTTCCCCTTGTGAGATTAGTGTAGGTTTAAAAATAATATTATCATGTAATTTAAAGTTATACAAATTCCAGAATGTTGCTTTCAGTAAAATCGTTCTAATTAATCTATTTTATCTATTTCTCTTCAAAGGGTAATTCATCAGTGAAATATTCATCCAGGATATCGGCAGGTAAATTAATTACCGAAATATAATATGAATATAATTGCTGTAAATTTAATTCTTATGGATCTGTTTAAAAACTTGTTTAATTCGCATTAGATGGCTCTCATTATCACAACTTTTAGGCAATTTTCTATATATTATATTTTGAGCTGATAACAAACGAAGAAGACTACCTCTATTTAATTGTTTATTACTTATTTAAAAAATTCTCCAAGCTTCTGATAAATATCTCAAATGACTGGTTAAATATTTTGACTTTTAATTAATTCTCGAATGGTGAATTTTTCATTTTTATTTTCTAAATTGTTCTTTAAACTCTCGAACGGTGAACCATAGAGGAAGCCTCAATTTTAATTAAATTTTTTATTTCATATTATTTTCATTTTCTAAATTCTACACTGTTCCTTTAAAAATGATTCTTCCAATACTAATTAAGTATTTGTTTTGTACGTTTGGGTCTCGATTGGCCCAGGCTTCGCTGTTCAAGGGTCTCTTATTTATAAATTTGATTGCTTAATCTTCAGTCAAAATATCCTTGTACACATTTTGTACTTCCATAGGTATAAATCATGATTGACCCAGTATTCACCATTCCACAGTTAATTAATTTTATAGACAAAGACTTTACTGTAATTTATATGAATATTCATTAACCTGTCTATTAGCCTTAATCCTCTTGTAAGTCTCCCATCGTCCATGAGGCGTGCCATCAGCTGCGGATGGCGCGTGAAGCATAGGTCCATGGGGATGATCCTGAGGATGCCCTGGAGGTAAATTCGACCTTGACGCTCGCGCTCGTGACGACGCTGAGGATATTTTGTAAAGTCGATCCAGTTCCTGGGCAAAGTGTTGCTCCAATTCTTGCGGCCTTACAGTGACCCCACATGCTGGACAGCAAGATGGATCCGAAGGGAACTTCTTTTTACCTGCAACACAAAAATGATATCGTTTATTATTACATTAAATAAATATATCATATTTACTTCATTTTTTTTTAATTATATCAGTGATTGTAAAAGTTTAATTATGTTTCATTTCTGTGACAGTAAAACAAAATAGTTTAATATGATTGCGATCATTAGAGCTTCGGTTTTTTTTAAACAGCAGACTTGGATTATATTTAGTGTTTTTGTAATACAAAAATAATTATGTATTAATAATAAAATAATATGTAATTATTATAATTATTATAATAATATTATAATAATAATAAAATAATAATATTAATAATAATAGAAATAATATGTATTTTTTAAATATTATGTTATACTAATTTCAAAGATCTCCTAATATTTTAAACTTCTAAAGTGAGGAGTTTACAATTAGAACCAAAGGAATGCGACATTTTTGAAAATTTTACAACATTATATTTAATAATTTAACCAACAATTTCTGTTTTTAATTGAAAAGTTTTAGAAAATGCCACTTGCAAAATACTGTGACGTGTAATATTAAAAAGTTATTTCATCTATTTCAATATTTTATTTTAAAAAATACTGTAATGTGTAATCTTAAAATATTCTTTCAAGTACGCAGGAAAAGACAAGATTACAGAAGAAGAAAACTTCCATTACAACAGAGGAAATAATAAGTAATATGATTTAAAAAGCATTCAAACTCATTAATTATTTTCTTTGAAGCGAATATTACGTTAATCGCAAGAAAAGTCACAAAACGAAAATCGTCGTGGAAGGTGATGAGCTTCCAAGCGTGGTTCCTTTGCGGAGAATTTATTACCTTATAAAGAATAAAAGAAAAAAGGAAAAAGATATTTCCTTATGTAATGTGTATGGATTATCAACGCTGGACTTTTTTTCGAATCTTCCAGTAAAACATTTTCATAAAAATAAGAACATTTATTGAAACATTACAAAACATTTATAAATTACTAACAACATTGTAAATTACTAATAACTATTGACATTAAACAAAACAAAGAAGCAAAAAATGTAATGACAGCAAAACTAACAATTTGATTTATATGCCACATAATCCAAATCATAATAAATATAAATTTTAGAAGCCCAGTTTCTTGGGCAAACTGGGTCATTTATGTCTGAAGCGAATTTCAACTTTTTCCAGATTTTCTTTTGAATATTTATTTTTCCCTATTAGTCTGAAACATTTGACTCATGAAACGATTATACAATATTAACCCTCGGATGGTGAACCATCGAGAGAGCCACAATTATTATTTCCAATTGATCCTTTAAACATTTGACTCAAGGGATGATTATATATCAACCCTAGGACGACGAACCATGGAGATAACTATAATTTTAATTTAATTCTGTATTTCATATTACTTTCATTTTCAATATTTTATACAGTTCCGTTAGAAATTATTCTTCTAATATGTGAAACTTCTTTTAACTTTAAGTTAATATCCTTGTATATGTTTTGTAAATTTGGGTCTCGATTGACCCAGGCTTCACTGTTCAAGAATTAAAGTAGAGCCCTTAGTAAGTATCCCAGAATTTTATTCGATTTTTTGAAAAACAAGCAACAGTAAAAAAATCAGTCATGAAGACGATTAAGATATTATTGTTGCAACAAAATAATAAAACATAGCCTACAAATCGACTTCTGCAATTTTATAATAATGTAAACGTGAATTAAGAAATATCAAACAGTCTATGAATTCTATTAGAAAACTTGGTATTTCATCTATAATTATACCAATTTATACTAATTAATTTATAATTAAAAATTAAAAATTATAATATTATAATATAATTAATTAATTTATACTAAAACGATTCAATGAAACATTTGTTTAACTCAATTTTTACCACGGAAGGATTTCTAAAAATGTTGTAATTAGAAGTAATAAATACATAAAATCAAATTTTTATGAATTATTTGACTGTGAATATTAATGTCATTTTTTATTTTACAATTGGTCTTCTCTTCCATAATTTTCTACATGTATAATGCAAATTTTTATTTTCTAGGCTTTTTCCACAGTTACTGCGTGTTCATATCTAAAAGCAACATTCGTCATATGAATCGTTCAAACGAATTATGAGCCTTGAAAATGTTAGCTTACAGAGAAAATTCCGGATGTTGAAGTCAAATAAACTCTGTCGAGTTGTTACACCTGTTACGCCACTTTTACGTGAACCTACCAATGTTAACGAAACTTGTTTAAGAAATGAATCATATTCATATACGTATTACATATACGTGATAATTCAGCTCTTTTTATATACAGGAAAAGAAACGATAAAATTCCTTCTCTGAAGAAATAAGAACACATTATTACAATCATATAATTTGATAACATAAAAGTACTACAAAATAGCATATATAGCACATTAAATTAAAATTTGAAAATTAATAAAAATGTCTACACAAACGCTTCATTAATATTCTTAATATAAAATGACTGATTCTCAGTTACAACGAACAATGTTGAATTTTGAAACATAAAGTTTGACAGGATTTGATAACATAAAAGATGGCACATCAAATTAAAGTTTGAAATTTAATAAAAATTACTACGTAAACGATTGATTGCCAGTTACAACAAACAATGTTAAAGGTGTAGATAAAGTTTGGCGCGATTTAATGACAAAAGTACCACTTATAAAAACAAGTTTCTTAAAAATGGTTTCTCTGATTCGTGTGTTGTAAAATTTTGTAACTGTTTGCATGCTAAATGTTTTTTTATGTATACAGATAGTCGCTACATGTTAACCCTTTTGTGGCTCTCTCCATGGTCCGTCGTTCGAGGGTTAACTGAGCCGTTTAAAAAAATTGAATAGTAAATAACGAGAGATGAAGTAAAGGTTCTATAAAATGTAGTAATATCAACGAACGAAAATAATAATTCCGATCCCCCTCGAAGATCAAGATACATAATCATTTTATTTAATATTCTTTCGACTTACACTATTCCTGCACATAGTCTTCACACCATTCGAATGAACGGTTCTTACTTATTTTTTATCCACGAAGAAGCTAACGAAAATATACTTACATCACTTCCACATAAAGCAGAATGATGCTTAAGCTTTTGAAACGCGGTGTTAAACTAAATAGACAAAAAATTGACTAAATAAATAAATAATGATAATATCTACAATGTTTAAATTGATACTTTTTATCCATATCTGCAGTCTTTGAGTAACCCTTGAATGGCGGACCATGGAGAGAACCTCAATTTTAATTTAATATTGTATTTGATATTATATTCATTTTTAAAATTTTACAGTTCCTACAAAAATTATTAAGCATAATTGATGTACAAATGAAATATTTGCTTTGTAAATTTGGATCACGATTGGCCACGATTGACTCATATTATAAGAATATATAGCTAGAATTAAACCCAGGCCCAGATACGGTCCAACGGGACAGTATCTGCATACTAATTAGGATAAATTGTGAAAATAATTTATCAAATGTTTATACAAATATAAATTGTAAACTTATCATCAGGGAGTCGGGGCTATCATACCGTCAGAAGCACGACCCTTAGTTGATAAAATTTATTCTAAATAAAATTAAATAACAATACAAGGATTAACATCATATAGGTATTAGAATATTTTTTCCAATTATTACCATGTCTATAAAAAAGAAAACATAAAATAAAATATAAAAATGAGTGAAACAGTAAACAAAATTTTATTCAACATTTTTTGCTATAGTAAATGGAACCCTTAGAAGTTCCCCCACCATCTTGGTATAACACTGTTTATCATGTGCTTAAATAAAAAAAATATATCATAAAACACCACGGTACATAATTTGAATGAAATTCCCAAAGACCTCCTTTGTAAAGGAAATTGAAACATTTCTGAATAGGTCAATAGCGTACTGTCGATAGAAAAGTATGTTAAAAGGTATTTTTTTGTGAGGGTTCGCGAGAATCGTAAGTTACTTGGACAGGAAGAATGTTGTCTCGGAGGCTAGAGTGTGCTCCTTCCGTTTCTGTCGTCGTTTATTTGGAGAATGCCAACCGGCTATTTTCCAGCCGTTTAACATATCCTGAAGCGTTTCCCTTCCGTCTCTCCTTTTTCAGCGTCTCCGTTCATTTTCTTCCGCCTTTTGTCGGGAAGTCAGTGCTCGCCTCCGTTCCTCTTTCGCCCCTTTCAATTAGGTACACTCGCAAATTTATGTCCGCGTCCCACCCTCTCCCACACTCTCGATATTCCGTTTTCCTTTCTTTATTGAAACAGACACCTTCTGCTTCCTTTATAGGCATTGCGGAATTGCTTCGATTGGAAATAATCGCGATGCAAAATACACCGGCGCAACGTATTCCTTTCTTCGTTTCGTGATTCCTTTATACAGGGTGTCCTTTTAACTACCATGCCGTAATCACACGAAATTACAATAATAATAATTTTCGTAATATTTCGCTATTATTCCAGGTATTTAATTAAAAATATTTTCAACTGGGTAATTTAAAGAATTCCTTTTGTATAATATAGACGGATGGGGTCTTATAGAAATTCAAGTGTCACTTACATAGGGAGTTGGATAAAATTTAGAGAAAAAATATTTCAAATAATATTTTGTTTAATATATTAACCTTTGAACACCGGAACCTGGGTCAATGGAGACCGAAACTTATAAAACCCATATAATGATATTAATTTAAAGTTAAACGTCTAATTTTGTAGAAGAGTTTCACATGTTGGAAGAATAATTTTTAGAGGAACAATGCAAAATTTAGAAAATAATATGAAATACAATATTAAGTTTTTGGGATTCTTTCAATCGTCCACCGTTCGAGGGCTAATCATTTGTTGCCAATAAAAGTAAATTGATTGTGAGAACACAATATATGCCAAAGTAAATTTATTTTTAATTGTAATTCTGTAATACTATTATTATGAACAACATCATCCATTAGGTTCTTCGTAAAAGAGACAGAGTATGTATCATTATATTAGGTAAAGCGAAAAGGAATGTC